TTAAACTGATAAACTAATAAATAAATAAATGCAAAATATATAAAGAATATCTTCTAGGCATTAATAACAAAAACCTTATTGATGTCTTGAAATTTTATTTTTTCACATAGGCAATTTTAAATTGATCCATGAAATTTAACCTGGAAAATATGAAAAAAGAAGGCTACCACTTCATACAACTGATTAAAAATGTGTTTTAAAATTTAAAGGAAATTGCTAAAGGTAGTAAGTGACTAATGATCTATTTCTCTGAAATTATAATATGAATAGTTGTTTCCTATGAAGACTTGGTATTCGTAGTAGCATGCAACAAAATCTATTTTGTTGGCATGAAGTCTAGCTAAAACAAAATTACTCTAAAGTTGCTTATACGATTCATTTATAATTGTAGGTAACAGATTGCTTGCTGTATTTAACATCGTAAGATACTTAAATTTTTAAAGAAATTCGTTTAAAAATTAAAACATTGAATTCATTTGACAAAAGTATTCACATTTTTGTGATTTTAGTTGTATAAAAAGAGAATTTTTATTTACTTTTTTACCTTTTTTCAATGAGCCAGTCTTCATCGCGCTTCTGACGATTTCCCACCATTTTAATTAGCATTCATTGTCTGTTCCAATCCTACTTGCTATTACCATTGTAAAAGAAAATAATATAGCTGCAAAACTGTAAGTATGTCTGTTGTTGAAGCTGTTCTTCAAACGCTTTCTGCGCTTAAATTTGAAAGCACCACTGCCGATCAATCCGATGCTCGTCCAACAACATTTGACAATGAAACACTAGAAACTGCTGTAGGGCATTTTATTCTGCCTTTATTCCCATAGGAAAAATTGCGTGTATTTCATTCCCTCCCGACAATTGGTAAAACCTTGGGTCCTGAAGAGTGCCAGAAAACGCTTATTCCCATTCTGAGCGGTATGTTAATATTGGTAATTACTTGATTCGCAGTATTTCTCTAGATCTCGTGCAAAAAGCTATCGGGGCAGGTGATGATGAAGTTCTCATGGTGATTGCTCAAAAATTGCCAGATTTGGCGGAAGCCTTAGGAACTGATGGAGAGGGATCTAGTTCATTAATAGTAAGGCTATTGTTGTTTTCACCTATTCTCTCTTTCAGCCCATAATTTCCGATATTTTGGTGTTTGTGGAAGAAATTGTTGTGGTTCAAGCAGCCGCTGATGCCTTTTGTGCTATTTTACCTCGTATGTCCGCTGATCAAATTGAGAAAAAAGCTCTGCCCCTGATACGAAAACTGCATGAGGGTAAGTTGGTTGTGAGAAATCATTAATAATTTATGCAACCTCCTTGTTTAATTCTACTCAATGGTTCAATTATCTTCTGTGTAAATAGCGATTTTCTATTGATTGTAATAGCTTTATTTAACACCTCTCTTTGAAAATGGTATACGTTGTAGAAATCGATTCGACAACTTTACCTCTTCCGCTTTAGATCATAGGCGTTTGCTCCATATAAAGTCGTTGTCGTTGATTTTTTTCTATCAGAATTGTGGATAATTTGCAACGTGTATTAATTTCTGTTGTTTAACCGACCTCATCGTGGTTTGTGTTATTCTATCATCTTCTGCCATAACTATAGTTCGTTGCAAAAGCCCTTTTTCGATCTAATTATGGGAAGCTTGCGAGTAAAACAGAATCGAAAGCGATGAGCTACAAATTTGATGGAAGTAAGGGCTTCCTTTGCAGTGGTGTAATTTTATCGCCTTAGCGACCTTTGTGGGCCTATCGTTATTGTCATTATCACATGGCGTCAAAGCAATATGAAGCATTTTAGTGTATTTTAATTGTTTTTTTTTTCCTTAAGAAGTCATAATTGTTTGCTTCCCTTCATTTATTAGATTTTCTTTGTTGCTTATATATTTATTTCAAATGACGGGCGTTTTGATAGTTATCATTAGCCTTTTAGCTGACTTCGGGCTTCACAGAGAGGATGAGGAACATCAAAGTGACAGTCGAGAGGGGGGACATAATAATGATTCACAAATGTAACAGAAACAGACAAAAAGGTAGAGAAAAGGTAAGATGAGTACTGTGAAAGTGGCTAAGGTAGAAAAAAGGCGAGGTGAGTACTGTGGAAGTGGTGAAATATGACATACAGTGGGGTGATGGTAGTTTGAAGTCAGAGGTATATGACATACAGTGGGGTGATGGTAGTTTGAAGTGAGAAATAGGTAGAAAAAAGGTGAGGTTAGTACTGTGGAAGAAGTCGACAGTAGAGCAAAGGTGAGGTGAGTACTGTGGAAGGGGTCGAATTTGACATACAGTGGGGTGATGGTAGTTTGAAGTGAGAAGTCGAAGAGAAAAGGTAAGATGAGTACTGTTGAAGTGGTCGAATTTAAGAAAAAAGGTGAGGTGAGTACTGTGAAATGGTCGAATATGGACAAAGGTGAGGTGAGTACTGTAAAAATAGTCGAATATGATATAGAGTGGGGTGATGGTAGTTTGAAGTCAGAAGTCAACTGCCGATCAATAGACTTTTTGCAAGTCAGAAGTCAACTGCCGATCAATAGACTTTTTTGTCTTTGAAGTCAGAAGTCAACTACCGTACAGTGGGGTCATGGTAGTTTGAAGTGAGAAGTCAACTGTAGGTGAGGTGAGTACTGTGGAAGTAGTCGAATATGACACAGTCAGTGGGGTGATGGTAGTTTGAAGTCAGAAGTCAACTGCCCGTTAATCGATTTTTATGCCGTATGAGTATATGTTGCCCAGGATGCACCACGTGGAGGTAAGTCTATCTCACACCCCTTGTTGCTAATATGTAAAAGCACTTCTAATCATTTTTCTTAAGCGCCTAATCAAGCATGCTCGTAAGGAGAGTTTTTTGTTATATTTTTTGCAATTATTTTTTTTAAATAGCTAATGATCCTCTCAAGGCCTGAGTAAATAGCATCTTTCCTCGAAACGAGCAAGGTAAAGAAAGAAGTAAGCCGATATTTTACTTACGTGTGGAAATAGATCGGGTATTTTCTGTTGTTCTTTTAAACGAATTTTATGTGTCAAAGGGGGCACGATTTTTGGACTTTTAATTGTTGTTTGAGAAACTGGAGACTCCTCAGGTTGATGGAAGTTGCAATGATTCATTTTACATGCAATTGAAATTATAATTAAGAAGATAAGTGGTTTGTACCTCTTCTTTCACTTGTTCATTTAGTATGAAATATTTGAAACCGTTGTTAGTCTGTTCGTTTTCCTGTTAGGCTAGAAATTTATTTGGTATGTAATTTGATTTCAGTTTGAACCTCATTTACATTTTCTTCTATATAGTTGATGTACATTACATTCACTGATTGTATGTGCATCTCCCTATAGCCTCCTCTCTCGTTGTGTCACGCGATTGGCGCTTCTTGTTGGTAAATGTGATATAAAAAAAATTCTTGTCGCCAAGTGTCCAACTATTTTCTAAACATTCTATAGCGTGTAGATGGGATTGTGAAAATGTGTTTCTCATTGTCTTTTTAGTTTAAAATTTTCTAGTTAGCCTAAGCTATGTAAAGGTAAAAGACCTTGGTGTGGCACCTTACTCCTGCTACTTAAAGTACTTTTCCCAATTTTGTTCACAGTTCCGATTTCCATTTGTGTACATAATTTCACTTCTATCATTGTTAATAGTGTTTTTATCCGGCTGATAAGACCACGGGTTTTGCATTACTTATTTATTTTACTCTGTCTCTTAACAGAGGATCTATTCTGCGCCTCGCGGAAAGTTGTGAGCAAGATGATGACCGCTTGCCATCCTCTGGTACCCCCAAAAGTCAAGTCGGAGTTGAAATGGCAAGTTCCTCCCTCTCCTTTTCTTCTGTCTCTCCCACTTTGACAAAAATTTTCGCTGTTTTGAAAGCTCCAATGAGTCACCCTCGGTACCAAGCACATCCACAGTTGCCTCTCTTGGGCACGTTTTTGACCAACCGAGAGATGGGGTTTGCTTATTGCCCAAGCCTGGGTAGCTGCCTAATACTCGCTGCCCATGGTTTAAACCAGCAATAAAAATAGTGTCAGTGAATCAACCCGAGGTCAACAAGATATGTGTTTTGGAAAATGAAATGGAACATGCTCAATTGTGAGCGACTAGAATTGAAAAAAAAATAAATACTTTCATAAATGTACACCATTGGTGTAATGGTCCACGCGTATGCCTACCTGATTGGATCTTACGATTGATTGGTTCTCATTAGTAGACATTTTTAATGAATGGAGATTGGAATATACCTTTTAAATATTAATCAGAATGTTTATTTTTTCTAATATTTCCTTGTACGGTGCTAAAATCTATATCTAGTTAGGAATTCAATTCTGTCTGTGAGGTAACTCATCAATATCAAAGAGTCCGTGATACCAGGGAGGTTTGGAAAATGAAATATCCACACATTCAACAAATAAGTTTATTTATACCTGTGGTCTGATGTCTCGGGGTCGATACCCTTCATTGAGCTTCATTCGGATGAAATGGTCGCTCCAGTTCGTCAAGG